CAGTTAATGGCTACCCAGGGAAGGATCTGCAGTCAGGCCCGCAGGACGAGTGACTGCCAGGAAGGGAATGTGGCCACAGGAGTTTGCCCTGGTACAGCACATGTCACCCGGCTGCAGGAAGGGGGCACTCGGCGCCCTCCACAGCACAGCCGGCAGACACCGGGCCTGCAAGCAGAGCTCCTAAGGCACAGGCACAGCTGACCCCCTGAGATATGAGAGGTGCCCCTATGCACAGGCTGCACGTGAGAGGAGAGCTGTGCTCCAGAGTGCACGCGGCAGAGAGATGTTCTGTGCAAGAGCAGGATTTGACACATCTGGAAAAGATGCACTGTCCAGATGCATCTGTGGACATTGTCTGTCTCAGTGAAGGGCAGGAACTTTCTCAGGTGAATGCCTAAACTCAAGCACCCTGCAAACAGTCAGCGTTTTGTTTGTTTGTTTTGTAACAACCAAATGTGAAGTGTCGTGTCAGTTCATGTCTTGGGTCTGAACAGCTTTTCCCGTGACAGATAACTGCCAAAACAACAAGACACTATTCTCCTTCAGCCACATTTGTCTCCATTACAGTAGTCCAGGGAATTGATCCTTTGATTAAACAAATTGTAGGTTTTGTTGTATGTGACCAGTAGTATGACAAGATTGTGCCCAAATTTTGTATTATAGTGAAAGATATAGTAGGCCCATCTTTCTGCCTGAAAGCAGGATCAGCAGGGTCATGCTGTTTCTGACCTTCTACCACAATCTCAATTATTCTTTCAAGCTTGGGATCCACTGCCTGCTTCATCTCCTTCCTTACAACCCATTTCCAGCTCCAAAGCTCCCTTGCTTGCTGTTTTTTGTCCTTCTTTCTCCATTCCCACAAACATGGACAAGGCTCTACTTGCCAGCAGCCCCTCACACTTTGGGATATGAGTGCCCTGTATTGCCCTCCCCCTCTCCTGCCCCAAGTCACACCTCTCTTCAAGGAGATGGATGTGGTACCTGAACAAAAGCACAGATGAAGCCTGATCCCAGCTGTGATGGGCAGCATGAATGGACACGGAACACACCACACAGTATGCTCCCTATTTATCCATCCTCTCCGGCTACCCTTGCTCAGGTGGGGTTTTATGTCTGCTTGTGGAGGCTTCGTGTTTTTGGCAGCTCCAGGACGACATGACAAACTCCTCTGCAGCTTCTGATCCACCGTGTCCACCCACCCCCCTGTGCAGCCGGTCACTCCTACGCACGGCACGTTGCCCTGATCCCCACGGAATGACATCCGCCTGTCTGTACCCGTCTCTCCGCCGCTTGCCGGGACCCGTTTGCATTCGGCTCAGTCCGGCTGCAATAGAGGTTCAGCCAGTGTCCGGGCACGCTCCTCGGTGCCATGTGCCGGAGGGCAGCGGGGCTCACCCGCACCTCAAGGCAGCGATGCCCGGCAAAGGAGCAGAGACCAGAGCGTCTGCCAGCGAGGTCCGCAAAACACCTGCGGATCGGCCGGGAGCGAGCAGAGAGAACCCGCTCCCCGCAGCA